GCTGGGCATGGTAGCATGCATCTGTAGTTCCAGCTACTTGGAAGGCTGAGGCGGAAGGATCTCTGGAGCCCAGCAGGTCGAGGCTGTGGTGGCTGGGAATGGCCACTGTATTCCAGTCTGGGTGACAGAATAAGACTCCAACTCAAAATAAATAAATAAATAAATAAATAAATAAATAAATAAAATAGTATCAGATTTCTAGTGACACAAGAAATTATGTATTTGAGACCAACTGTCCAACAGCAGTGCATATGAGCAGACATCACAAGACTCTCTCTCCTCAAATCCCCATTTGAAGATGCACCTTTATGTTACAACACCCTTATACAAGACTTTGTGTAAGTGTAATAAAAACTCCTCAATAGGATGGGCTTGGTGACTCAGCTTGTAATCCCAGGACTTTGGAAGTCCGAGACAGTGGATTACCTGAGCCCACAGGTTTAAGATCAGCCTGGGCAACTTGGCGAGACCTCATCTCTCCAACAAAGAAAAAAAAAGCCATGCTTGGTAACTTGCACATCTAGTTGCAGCTACTTGGGAGGCTGAGGTGGAAGGATCACCAGAGCCAGCAGGTTGACTCTGGGGTGGCTTTGAGCATGTCACTGCACCCCAGTCTAGGCAGTAGAGTGAGACTCCAACTCAAAATGAATAAATAAATAAACCCTCAACTAAAGACAAGATAGGAGGAGTAGAATGAGAAGACTGAGCAATGGAGGATGGTTGTATGCCCTTGACTTCACAGACTGCCCTCACAGGCCCTATTTAAAATAGAAAAATTGCTAGTGTTGTGCTGTGGTTTTCCTATAATTCTTCATTTTGCCATGTTCATAGATGCCATACATCCCCTCCCCTCTTTTTTTTTTTTTTTACAAAGGTGCTGATGAGCTCACATGTAATAAATCCTATAGGGGTAAATTCTTCACAAATTATCATAATAGGATCTCATTTCCATGATCATGTTTTTAAGTTTGCTGACAGTATTGCATATTTTGGAATCACAAATAAAACCCATTGGAACATGTGATATAAACCACGTTTAATTTTTAATGTAGATTTACACACAGGTTTACACATTACCTATAACGACATGAAAGCTGGTTCACTGGGAATCAAAAGACTTGTTTCTGAGATCATGGGAATTCAGGAACATCAACTTTAGGAGGCTACATGGAGGCAGAAATTCTCCCAAAGCTTTCCATTTTTTAGACAAAAATTCTGCAGATTGGTCCCAGGGAGGTAGGTGGATCCTTCACTGCTGAGGATGAGAAAACTTTCATTCAATACAGAGGTGCTAAATTGATAGTTTTCAAATGCTTCCAAGTGCCCCAAACCTTGAAAGTTGCCATCCCAAAGCAGGGTCATCATCAGTTCCTGAGGGATTGTGTCTCTGACACAATGTCCAGTCAGGCCTCAGTTGAAATGAGTCTGATGATTTTAAGTGTAAGATGCCTGGACCACACCATCAACTTAAATTTGGCTTCACGTCCACTGAAATGGGTTGGTAAAAATGGCCCACTAGGCCAGTTGGGGTGGCTCACGCCTATAATCCCAGCACTTTGGGAGGCCGAGGTGAGAGGATTGCCAGAGCTCAAGGTTTGAGACCTGCCTGGGCAACTTGACGAGACCACATCTCTACAATAAATCTAAAAATTAGCCAGGCGTGGGGGCGCATGCCCGTAGTTCCAGCTACTTGGAAGGCTGAGGCAGAAGGATTGCCGGAGACCAGCAGATCAAGACCGCAGTGGCTGTGATTGTGACCTTGTCCTCCATCCTAGACAATAGAGTGAGGCTCCAACACACACACACACACACACACACACACACACACACACACACACACACACACAAGATCCGCTTGACACGTGCCTGGGAGTGGGATTTTCCTTTGCTCTTTTTTTTTTTTTTTTTGAGTTGGAGTCTCACTCAGTCGCCTAGACTGGAGTGCCGTGACCGCTCCCGGCCACCTCAGCCTCGACCAGCTGCTGGGCTCCAGCGATCCTTCCCGCCTCAGCCTTCCAAGTAGCTGGAACTACAGGCACGTGCTACCACGTCCGGCTATTTTTTTTTTTAATTTTAATTATTGTAGAGATGAGGTCTTGCCAAGTTGCCCAGGCGGGTTTTGAACCTGCGGGCTGAGGCAATCCACTCATCTCAGCCTCCCAAAGGCGTGGGATTACAGGCTGAGCCACCGAGCCAGGTTTCCTTTGCTCTTACAAGATTCCAAAAGACCCCATAATTACTCTCCCTCACGCCTCAAAATCCACTTCCACAAGTAAGGCGTCAATGATGTTGCCATTTCCGGGCAGCCGCATCCTGCAACCCCTGGCAAAACAATGAAGCTGTGGTGGGATCTGGATGGGGATTTTTCCCAAAGTGGCTGGACTGGACTCTGGCTGGAGAGAGCAGTAGGACGCTTAACAGTGGGCAGTGCCTTGGACATCAACCTATCACCAAGTGGTTTAGGAAGCAGGTGGCCCCTGGGATGAGGAGGAGGCTAGTGGTCTGGAACGACCTTGGTGCCGATGGAGAAGATTCTGAGCTGTGCAGAGATGCGGGGGGGTAAGCCCACCCAACGTGAGCCAGGAACAGGTGCATTGGAACGTCACCGTGTCGCCACCACTGCCCATCCGGTCATGTCCCTCATTATCCTTTCCAAGCTCAATCCCCGTGGTGACATCGTGGCAGGATGTCAGCAGCCAGCAGGACTTTGATGGGAAGAGGCGCACCACCCGGTCCCTCTTTCCGCCTGCAGTCAGCGCATACTGTAATGGAGTTCTGCAGACCAGCGGCTCATCCATCAGGCGCCATTCCTGTGCCAGAGTTCCCAACATGCTGGGATTGTTGTCTGGCAGCACAGAGACCAGCCGACCAGGAGTCATTCAGATGCCAGAGTTCCCAGCATGTGCCTGGAATGACTGCACATTCCACTCCTCACTCCAACATCGGTACAGGGAGGCAACTCAGCCTTTAAATCCTGCAAGTAAAAACGTGCTTTTCTTGCCTCCTGCAACCCCGTTTGATCGCATCTCCCGTCAATCAAGATCAGAGAGGTGGGATCCGGAGCCTCATCCAATCAGTGATGCTGACTCGGAAACTGTCCAATCAGAGCATAGCCGGAAGTGAGAGGTTGGCTTCTGTGCGCTGGCCATGCTCTTTGTATCTTGCACTGCGGAAGTGCAGAATCGTCTCGAGAGAGCTGTGTGTTTTCAATTCAGTCACTGTTGCCCTGTGGCCAGCAGGTCCTGGGAGTCCGTAGGGAGGACGCCTGGACACCCGGAATACAGCAGATGATGAGTATTCGAGCGGGTGGGAGAGGGGAAGCGGGGATGGACCCAGATGACGCGACTGTGAAGGACCGGCTCACACCTCAGCTCTGAGCCTGGACCCGTGCCCGCGGGTGTCTCGGCCTGGTCCCCTCGGCGCAGGGTGGGGCTGGGCTGGGACCCTGGTGTCCTTTCCCAGCGGAGACCTCACCCACCTAACCCTCTCCAAACAGCCCCACTCTCCAGGAGTTCGGGACTCGGGAGGGACGTGGGGAGGATCCGACCCGCGTGGGAGGCCCATGGGAGGAGGGGGAGACTGGTCCAGGCACTGTCGGCTCTCTCCTCCCCAAGGTTAAGCGGAGGCTGCATCACAGCCTAAGGGGTTCCCTTGGGTCAACAATGAATTGTGAGTTCAGAAGTCCCAGCCAGATCTCATGTTGTGGAGTCCCTGGAGAGCCTGGGGGGAAAGGCTTTGAGAAAGGGCAAGGGGAAGCCGAACATAGGCAATTGCTGGTGGGTGACAGCTTGGCCCTCTCCTGACTTGGACTATCCAGGTGGACATTCCCAGGGTATGTCATCAGGGTCCTTGGCAGTTGGTGTCATCAGGGGCAAACCCTGTTCTGCTTGTAGCAAGATAGTAAGTCAACGCAAGAAGCTGGAGCAGGGTCTCTGATTTTATTGAGGAAGGACATAAAAATGCAAGAAGATGAGGGGTCGGTGTCCTAAAGACCCCTCTTGGGTCGTGTGTGCTTTTTTTTGATGTTTATTCAGGCTGGGGGGCAGAGGGGGAGCAAGACCAAGAGGTTGCTTAGACCTGAAGCCATTTGGGCAATGAGAAGAGTCCTGGAAAGTGGTGAATCTCTTTTTCCTTGGTTCACAGTCTCCTTGTTCCTTTATTTAACAAAATAGAGTTAGTGCCTTTACTCCCACTTTCCCAGTTAGTCTGGAGAGCTGCATACTTGTACCTACTTTATCTTGCCAACATCTCAAAAATATTTTATCTGTGTGAAAGCTCACAATATGCCAGAGATCCCTCCTCAGTCTAAAACGGACGTTTTATCAGACGTTTGATAGTTGACTGTCCCATTTGTGGTTGATTAACTCTAAGTGGTTTTTGTTTTTTAGTTGGAATCTCACTCTCATCCATGCTGGAGTGCAGTAGCAATCTCATGTCTATCACAGCCTCGACCTGCTGGGTTCAGGTGATCCTTCTGCCTCAGCCTTCCAAGTACTTGGAACTACAGGCACATACCACCATGCCAGGCTAATTTTTTGATTTATTGTAGAGATGAGGTCTCGCCAAGTTGTCCAAGCTGGTCTCGAGCCCATGGGCCCAGGCAGTCCTCTCATGTTGGCTTCCCAAAGTGCTGGGATTATAGGAATGAGCAACCACACCCAACCCGTTTTTATTTTTTAAAGTTAGTAATTTTCAAGAAATCAATTTTAGATTGGCAACTGGTTACTGGGCACATTTAGACACGTCACTGTTGTTGAAGGGACAAGGCAGAAATGATTTCTGTCCTCTTGATGATCTTACACTTGGGAAGGAAGTAAAACTATCCCAAAGGACAAGGTAATCCCACCTCAGGGAGATAGTGGAAGAATCCACAAATCAGAAGGAACCTCAGGCACTTGGAAGACTAAGTGTTGGGACTCCCAAGAGTGTGGTAAGACTGATTAAAAATAAATACATTCAATGTAATTTTAAAATTAATAAAGGCATATTTTCAAAATGTAGGTGTGACTTGATTCGATAATCTCACCTAAGAAGAAATCCCAGAGAAGTAGGAGGAAAAGAAAAAAATGGCTGGTTCTCAGGTAAATGTGCCCAGGACAGAAAAATGTCTGTGTTTAAAAATTGCAAAGGTTCCTGCTGTCCTTGTGATGGTCCTGCCTAATAAATCTGTTTCAATTATTTTTGTCCTTCCTGTTATTTTCAGTGGGTCTGTCAGACACTGCTACATGGCTTCCTCCATCCTCTTCTTCCATACTGCTTAGATGCCATGAACTATTCTCACCATGAATCTATGACCTGCAGTATTCAAAATGTTCCCTTGTGACTGGGTAACATGGGAAGGCACGGATACCTAAGATTCCCACTGGTGATGGTAGATCTTCAGATCCTAGTTAAGGATGGGAACATGTAGTGTTTTTTATCTTTTTTTTTTTTTTTGAGTTGGAGTCTCCTCTGTCACCCAGACTGAAGTGTTTAGGCACACTTATAGCCACAACAGTGGGCTCAGTTGATCTATCAGCCTCAGCCTTCCAAGTAGCTGGAACTACAGGCATGAACAACCATGCCCAACTAATTTTTTGATTTATTGTAGGGACGAGGTCTCAAGTTGCCCAGTCTGGTCTCACACCCATGGGTTGAGGTAGTACATGCACCTCCCAAAGTGCTGAATTTATAGGCATGAGCCAAGTGCCCAGCCAAAACAAGTACGATTAAAGTTCTGTCTGGATGCTCCATCTGCTCCATGGAGAACATGGTTAATAAAATGCACATTAAACAGGGTGGCAGTTACTATCCAGAATAACGCAGGAAATTCTGGAAAAGAATAATTAGAAGACACTTGTTCTCTGGGATGCTAAAAACAAGCAATATAAATATACTTTTGGAGATTGCTTGCTATGGGAAATACCTGTAGGCTGATTTCTGCATACAACATGTTTCTTTATTATTAAACTGAGTCTACAAGTTACTATATTGGTCAGGTGTGGTGGGTCAGCCAGTAATCTCAGAATTTTGGGAAGCTAAGACAAGAGAATTGCCTGATGCTGGGTTTGAGACCAGCCTGGGCAACTTATGAGACCTCATCTCTACAATAAATCATAAAAACTAGCCAGGCATGGATGTGTACATCTGTAGTTCCAGCTATTTGGAAGGCTGAGGCGGAAGGATCACCTAAGTACAGTGGGTCAACACTGAAGTGGCCATGAGCGTACCTCTGCACTCCAGCCTAGGCAACAAGAATGAGACTCATCGCAAAAAATAATAATAAATTACTATATCTTGTGGCCAATAAGATCTCAGCATGGATTTTGTGTTGTACCTGTGTCCCTTGGCACCTGATAACAATTTGTCCCAACTACTTGGGAGGCTATGGAGAATTTTTTACCCAGGAGATAGAGACTGCAATGAGCTGTGATATGCCACTTCACCCTAGCATGGGCAAGAATTAGACCCACCAACTGAAAAAAAACTGTAGAACCTCAAACTAACCCTGTGTCCCCTGAATCAAAATTACATTAAAAAAAGTTCAATTCATTGTTGTACATATAAAACTTCATGAGGACCTTACAATTCACTGGGAATTTTCTACCCAAGCAGTATATGCAAATTATTCTGTGTGATGTAAATATCTCATTGAAAAATGTATGTGCCTATGTTGGTGTCCAAATTTATGCTGTATCAGTCACAAGAGCGGAGTGTCCACACTGGCTGAGTGGATTTTATTTGAAATTCTCAGACTTAATGCATTAGAGAATATTTCTGTGTTACAAATTATCTTATTGCATAATTCTAGTTGTTGTATCACCTGAACCCTGTTCTCTTCACTCTGGATTTACCTAGAAGCCATGGTCACTTGGTAAATATGTTTTGTGGTTGCTATTTTCAGAGGCTGTTGACATTCAGGGATGTGGCCATAGAATTCTCTCAAGAGGAGTTGGTATTCCTGGACCCCACTCAGCAGATATTGTACAGGAATGTGATGTTAGAGAACCACAGAAACCTGGTTTTTCTAGGTGAGGACAGTTTTAAAACACAATCCCTATTTCATATTAAGGATTTCATGGCTTTCCTTTGTAAAATGTTTTCTGGGAATTTCTGCTGTCCACAAATGAGTTTCAGATTCCTGTTATCAAAGAAAAGTTGGTAATTTGTCATAAAAAAAATTAGAGCGGTTTCATTTTGACAAGAAGCACTCTCTATTTTATTTATTTTATTTTTATATTTTTTGAGTTGGAGTCTCACTCTGTCACCTAGACTGGAGTGCAGTGGCCACTCCCGGCCACCGCAGCCCCGACCTGCTGGGCTCCGGTGATCCTTCCACCTTAGTTTTTCAAGTAGCTGGAACAACAGGTGTGCGCTACCACGCCTGGCTAATTTTTGATTTATTGTAGAGATGAGGTCTCCCCAAGTTGCCAAGGCAGGTCTCGAACCCACTGGTTCAGGCAATCCACTCACCTCAGCCTCCCAAAGGCATGGTTAATCACATCAACTTTCTTCAAGGGTGCCTTAAAAACATTTGGGTTAAGCTGGGCTCGGTGGCTCAGCCTGTAATCCCGCACCCTTGGGAGGCTGAGGTGAGTGGA